ATTGATTTTCGATGTGTGCTTTAGCGTTAGCTAATAGCTTTGTTGTGTGCGTAGAATGTTCTACGTGGAGTAACAAATCCTTTTTCTGTATCGACGTTTGCATTGAGAACAACCCAAGCAGAGAAGAGTTGATTTACTAAAGTGCACGCGCATTTTGTGTGCGAGAGTTGGTGTGCAAGTTGAGATGTTATTGTTTGTGAAAAAATCGGTAAAAATCTGCCCTACATAGCACTACTGTTAACGGGTCCCGGGGGCCAGGTAGAGCTTTATATCTCTCTTTTAAATTCATATGAACGCGCTGGGTATCGCAGAGTTATGGCGGCTGTTATCCTACCCGGTTTTCACACATCAGAAGACCAATGACACGTCTCGTTTAGCTTCGCTTTTCATCCGATTGGAAACTGCATGCCATGCGAGCCGGCATTCTCCTATCTAAATTGGATATTGGTGGGAGAATTATTTCGCTGTACGTTTATCCCGTTATCGCGAAATGATCACCACAGACCATAAATTAATAATAGCTTGCATCTGCTTCTCATATGAACGAGGGGTGATTCATGGCATAGTTATCCGCCAGGTACTCTAATCTACCTCGTTCGTTTCTATTTTTCCTGTTTTCTCTCAGCGGCAGCCATTTGTGGCAAATTGTCGTCTGATCTGTCACGGATCCCGCTCAGAGAAGCGCCGTGCACGCTAGAGGTGCAGTCTTCGTCTCACAGGGACCGCATCAGCAGATTATCTTGTCCGCCGGGCTCCTAACACAAGAACATTTGCATAATTGATCATGTCGAAACTGCTCTAATGTCAACTTAGCGGCCCATTTGACGATTTATTATTCCACGGTGCAGTCAAGCAGCACAAGCAGTAGTTTGGCAATTCGAATTCCTGTTCATTTTGCAAATTGATAATTTTCCATCAGTGCAAGAACCGCCTTGAATAACGAAGGATCATACCATATGACATCAAATATAAAACACGACTGATTTTGAAGATTAGTTGTATTATTATCTTCTTTTTCTTCAAGCCATTGGCAATATTCAATCAACAGTAATGAGGCATCGGAAGGCTTTAGGAAGTACTTCGGCTCTGTTAGTCGCAGTAGTAAGGACAGGAAATCCCTACATTTCCAAAGAAAAAAAGACTTCCACAAGGACCAAGAATCAAACCACAAAAATGCCGTTAGTACTAACTGAAGCACCGTTGCCTAGCAACAGATCGGCACCTGCGCTAATGTGGTTGACGTAGAAAAATGAATCCAACCTAAATGTCAAGTCATCTCTTTGCATTTTCGGTAGATCTGTCATGTTTACTGATATTCCCAATGTTTGCATACTGAGTTACCGTAAGTTTCCTTCCGTTCCTAAGGAACTGGTCACATGTGTTCTCTTCCTTAGTTCTTGGGTTTGGCATTTATATGAGAATCGTCCTTATTTGCTCTCCGGCCAATGCCGCCATTTTTGTAATTCCGAGCCCGACGTAGCCTGGCTTCCGTCCGCACTTACTCCATCCGCTCCCCATGGAGACTGCCTCCGGAGCGACGTGCTCAAAACGGAGGATTTCCAGGTTATCGTTAATCAGCATCAGTCTAGCAGATCTGTAGACATTCCACGGGCCGTGCACAGTCTTCAACAGACTCTCGAGACTCCCTAATGATCCTCAATAGCTCCTCGTCCTTCAGAGGGCGCCCGGAAGGATACAAGTGGGGACCATTCTGTATATATAGCTAGGGATTTCAACAGCACACCTGTGGCGTCGTTGGCGCAACGTTTAGAGCGTTGGACTCGGAACCAATAGGTCCCGGGTTAGATACTCACCGTGTGTGCTCTTGGGAATGGACTTTACACGACTTCCCCCTCCTGTACGGTGGAGTGACGCCCACCGAGCCTCTTAGGCTAGTATGTCTGACTGTGTGCCAAAAACACACTACGGATTTGGTGCGCCAATGTGTCAACATCAGCACATTTGCCTAGTCTCCACTAGACTTCTTTTGCAGGCTGAATAAATCGTAGAAATCGGCCTAAAAGGGTATTAATTGGCCAGAGAAGGTAGCCGGCCAAAGAAGCTCCATCGGAGGGGAAATGGAGCTTCTTTGGCTGGCCAATTAATACCCTTTTTAGGCCGATTTCTACGATTTATTCACCCCGCAAAAGAAGTCTGGTGTAGACTACAGCATAGTGTGCATCTACCACATACCTGTTTAATTTGGTACTAGAGCTCAATAAGGCCTCATTTGTATACAATCAGTAGAGAATCTCTTAATGTAAATCATAATTTGTTTGTGGTTATCATGGTCACTTCTGAAATGCAAATTTTTCATTATCGTGACCAATTAACTGTTTTTTTGCTGCACCTGCCACCACTGCAAACGTATAGTTCCATCAACATGTCCGGAACCCCAAACATAAAGTGATTTACTTAGTACTTACTTACTTTACTAGTATCCTCTTCATCTATTGTGAGACATAAGGCCATGACTATTTTCTTCCTTGTGGATCAGTCCTTGGCCACCTTCTTTGCTAATCGCTAGGACAGTCCCGTCAGGTCATCCGTCATTGTGACAGTTCTTCTCCAGATGGTTTTGGATCTGCCTCTGTGAAAGCCTGAAGTGATCTTTTAAGATCACTTAAAAGTATGCAATATATGGGTCTTTGCTGTTGTGGTACCATCATCACATATACTACTGATACTGATTATTCACGTTGATTGGCAGCCATATGCATTATTGGCTGAATTGCACAAGTGATTACATTATATTAAAAAACTTGAAAGAGATACACATAAAAAAGTACAACATTGACGATTAAAATTAAATAGATTTAAAATTTTGTAGGTCGGTCCGTTAAAACAAAGGCGGACTACTATTTACAAATCTTGGTTACTGAGGCTTATTGCCTGAAACAGAAAAGATTTCCTCAGTCTTTCAGTTCTGAACTTCGGTACGGAGATGTGGTTTCCATTTCTCAGGGACCGCCGTGTGCTCTGGTGTCTGTCGTAGGGCATCAAAGAATGCAAAGGGTGGTTGGCATCCCGCATTTGCTTGAGCTAGAGTTAGAACAAAATGCTCTCCTCTGTGTTGNTACTTGTTCTTCTGCTTGATAATGTAGATATCAACGAGTGTGGTTCTCCC